CTCCTTCTCTCTCCTCTTCTCCTCTCCTTCTTCCTTCCTCCCTTCTCTCCTCCTGTTCTCTCCTTCCTCCCTTCTTCCCCCACTCCTCCCTCCCTCCCTTTCTTCTTTCCCTCCATCCATAATCCATCCTCCTCTCCTTTCCTCCCTCCCTCCCTTCCATTCACCCTTCCTTCTCTCCCTCTTCTCCTCTCCTTCCTTCCTCCCTTCTCTCCTTCTGTTCTTTCCTCCCTTCTTCCCCCACTCTTCCCTCCCTCCCTTTCTTCCTTCCCTCCATCCATAATCCATCCTTTCCTTCCTCCCTTCCATTCACCCTCCCTCCCTCCTTCTCTCCCTCCTCTTCTCTACTCTTCCTTCCTCCCTTCTCTCCTCCTCTTCCTTCCCCCTCTCCTCCCTCCCTCCCTTTCTTCCTTCCCTCCATCCATAATGCATCCTCTCCATCCTTTTCTCCTCTCCTTCTTCCTTCCTCCCTTCTCTCTTCTCTCCTTCCTCCCTTCTTCCCCCACTCCTCCCTCCCTTTCTTCCTTCCCTCCATCCACAATCCATCCTCCTCTCCTTTCCTTCCTCCCTCCCTTTCTTCCATCCTCCCTTCTTCTCTCCCTCTGCTCCTCTACTTCTCCCTTCTTGCCTTCCTCCCTCCTTCCCTCCATCCTCCTCTCTTCTCTCCTTCCTCCCTTCTTCCCCCCCTCCTCCCTCTCTCTGTCCCTCCCTTCCAGAACAATTAACCAGTGGAACTGCTTGCCTCCAGAGGTTGTGGGTGCTCCATCACTGGAGGTTTTGAAGAAGAGAGTGGACAGATATTTGTCTGAAACGGGATAGGGTTTTCTGCTTCATCGAGGGGGTTGGACTAGAAGACCTCCAAGGTCCCTTCCAACTCTTGTTATTCTGTTATTTTGGAGACTTTGGCCAAGAAAACGGGGTTGAGAAGGGAGTGAATGGTTCATACCTAAGTGAAGCTTGGACCTCTGCTGTTTATTTTTCTTCAGACTCTTTTAACCCAATTGCAGTCTAACGGCTGCAGAACTTTCTTTAGTAAATTGGTGGCTGGGGAATTCTGGGACACGTCTTTAACGTTGCCCACATTGAGAAACCCTGTCACCGGGGAAAATCTACGTGCTGTATGTGGTTGCCAAGAAACACGACCAACTTGTAAGAAGATAATAATCCCATTTTGTCCGAAATGGTATAGGTCTTCTGCTTGAGCAGGGGGGTGGACTAGAAGATCTCCAAGGTCCCTTCAACGGTGAAAAAAGGAAGGTTTTTCAATGCAAGAAAAACCAAATGTACAGGTATTGTATAGGGGATACCTTGCTCAATAGTAGTAACTGTGAGAGGGACCTCGGAGTCCTAGTGGACAATCACCTAACTAGGAGCCAGCCGTGTGCTGCAGCTACCAAAAAGGCCAACGCAGTGCTAGGCTGCATTAACAGAGGGATAGAATCAAGATCACGTGAAGTATTAATCCCACTTTACAAGGCCTTGGTAAGGCCACACTTGGAATACTGCATCCAGTTTTGGTCACCACGATGTAAAAAAGATGTTGAGACTCTAGAAACAGTACAGAGAAGAGCAACAAAGATGATCAGGGGACTGGAGGCTAAAACATATAAGGAACGGTTGCTGGAATTGGGTACGTCTGGTTTAATGAAGAGAAGGACAAGGGGGGACATGATAGCAGTCTTCCAATATCTCAGGGGCTGCCCCAAAGAAGAGGGAGTCAAGCTATTCTCCAAAGTGCCTGAAGGCAGGACAAGAAGCAACGGATGGAAACTAACCAAGGAGAGAAGCAACCTAGAACTAAGGAGAAGCTTCCTGACAGTGAGAAAATTAACCAGTGGAACTCCTTGCCTCCAGAAGCTGTCGATGCTCCAACACTGGAAGTTTTTAAGAAGAGACTGGACAGCCATTTGTCTGAAATGGTATAGGGCAGTGATGGCAAACCTTTTAGAGACCGAGTGCCCAAAAACCGGCTCTGCCTGCCCCTGCTCCACTCCTGCTCCCCCCCGCCCACCCCCAGGGCCACCCACTGCCTCTACAGCTTGCCCAGGTGGCCCAGCAGTGCAATGGCGGCCATGCCTTTTGCCCACGCCCTGCAGCATCATCTGCGTGCAACGGGGCACAAGAGCGGAGCCTTATTCCTGCCATGTTCTTGGCTGCGCTGCTCCGCGCTGGCTGTGCTCAGAGGGCGACTCTCCTCCGAGAGAGCTGCTGGTGAGGAGGGGGCCACGGGGGAGGTGGGTCTGGGGCAACGGCGTGAGCGCCCACAGAGAGGGCTCTGAGTGCCGCCTCTGGCACGCGTGCGATAGGTTCGCCACTACTGGTATAGGGTTTCCTGCCTGAGCAGGGGGTTGGACTAGAAGACCTTCAAGGTCCCTTCCCACTCTGTTATTCTGTTTAATACTAACAAAACATTAACTCAAAAGAGGGTGGCAATTACTTGACCATGGCTGATCTCAGGAAAGGCTAGGCAGGGTTAGAGCCGGTTGGATCCAACTAGGATGGGAGACCACCCAGAGACTGTTCATTTGTTTATCCAATTTATATGGCTGCCCATCTCTCAAAAAGTGAGCCTGGGCAGCGCACAACAGTGAAAAAAGTTCCTCAAGGAATCTCCTAAGAAAGGGAAAACCAAAAAATTCTCAGAAAAAGCTTTTACTGTAAAAGCTTCATGGATAATTTGGGGTAGCCATTAGGAGCTGAGGGAGTCTTTAAATTTAATAAAAAACCTACTTTTAGTAAGCACAGAATTTCTGGCACAATCTCACACTTTGAGCTGCCAGCAGGAGAAAAAAAAAATCCATTTTAAGCCTTTGCCACCTAATATTTTGAGATATCAATGCAGTAAGCAACCTCAGTAAACTCCTTGCTCAGGATTGAGGGTGCAAAATGGAAGGCCTTAAGGGATAAAACTCCACTTTAAACTGAAACCAACAAAATTTCAAGGCATTAATCTTTAAATACTTTTATGATTTATGATTTAGGAGCCTGGGAAAAAAGATATTGTTTGTTGATTCTAGTGTACAGCCCTGTACACAGAAACTCCTTGTCTCACAGCAAGCTGACAGGCCGAACAATGAAATAGGGACCTGTAATCCAATAAACCAAATTTTTATATTTACTGACTGTATAGCAGTCCTCGACTTACGAACACAACTGAACCCAAAATTTCTGCCGCTAAGCAAGATAGCGGTTAAGTGAATTTTGCCCATTTTACAACTTTTCTTGCCACATTTGTTAAGTGAATCCTTTGGTTGTTAAATGAGGAACACGGTTGTTAAGTGAATCTGGACTCCCCCACTGACTTGGCTCGTCGCGAAAGGGGGATCACATGACCCCAGGACACTGTAACCGTCATAAATACGAGTAAGTTGCCAAGTGTCTGACCAAGGGGATGCTACAACGGTTATAAGGCTGAGTCAGGGTCATTAAATGAACTGTCATAAGTGGAGGACCAACTGTGTATATATTGTGTTCTTGAAAGCAAAAGAAAAAAAAAAGAAAAGAAATGGAGAAGCAGGAGGAATTCAAATTGGTGTCTCTCAACCTTTTTCATTTTCAGATGTGTCGACTTCTAACTCCCAGAATTCCCCAGCCGGCAGAATTTCCCAGCTGGTTGGCTGGGGAATTCTGGGATTTGAAGTCCCCACGCTTGGAAACTGTTACAGGTGGGGAAACTCTGTTTTAACCAGCTATCGCCAGCTTTGCAAATGAACTGCCTGAGTTTGTCTATAATCGGAATGAAAACCAGGATGTTTTTTTCAAAATTATTTCATTAAAAGATTGACACGCTGGCCCTTAGCAAAGCTTTTCAAGTAGGTTACCCAAACCAGATCAATCATAACTAACCAAGATAATAAAGTCACTTTTTTCCAATGCTGCTGTAACTTGGAAAGGGTCATAAACAAACGGTTGTAAATCAAGGACTACTCCAAGGATAGGTAACCTTGGCTCTTTTATGACTCGTGGACTTCAACTCCCAGAATTCCTGAGCCAGCATGGCTCAGCTTGGAAACCTCTCCTTTTCCCCCTCAGCGTGGCTGGCTCAGCAATTCTGGGAGTTGAAGTCCATGAAGCATAAAAGAGCCAAGGTTGCCTACCTCTGGCCTAGGGGATTCTGGGAGTTGAAGTCCCAGATCAGGGGTAGGCAACCTTGGCTCTTTTAGGACTCGTGGACGTCAACTCCCAGAATTCCTGAGCCAGCCATGCTGAGGGGAAAGAGAGAAGTTTCCAAGCTGAGCCATGCTGGCTCAGGAATTCTGGGAGTTGAAGTCCACGAGTCATTTATTTATTTATGAGACTTCTATACCGCTTTAAGTGCAAGCACTCTCTAAGCGGTGTACACCAGTAAGCAATGTATATATATATATATATCTATATTGCCCCCAACAATCTGGGTCCTCATTTTACCTAAGGAGAAGGGGAAGGTCAACCTTGAGCCGGAGAGAGGTGAGATTTGAACCGCTGGAACACAGTCAGCTAAAGTGGCCTGCAGCCTGCAGTACTGCACTGCTGCCACCTCGGCTCATAAAGCAGTCTAGGCCTAGCCCAGGGGTAGGCAACCTTGGCTCTTTTATGACTTGTGGACTTCAACTCCCAGAATTCCTGAGCCGCCATGGCTCAGCTTGGAAACCTCTCCCTTTCCCCTCAGCGTGGCTGGTTCAGGAATTCTGGGAGTTGAAGTCCACGAGTCATAAAAGAGCCAAGGTTGCCTACCCCTGGACTACCCCCTTTACTTCCCCAGTCCTGGGTTCTAATCTTGCCATTTGGAGCCACAGAGAGCAAAGGGAACGCCCCTTCCCTGTCCCCTCAGCACTAAACTGGTCAGCTTCTCCCTCTCAAGAGTCTCCTTCAAGAAGAGGACAAGAGCACCTCTGAACATGTGCAGAGTGTGTCTTCCCCGCTATTGCATCCAGATGCCAAGCGAGCTAAAGACAGATCAGAAAAACACGCCCTCGAGCTCCGGCTTTTGCCAAATTGAGAGCGGGTGCCGCACCCGGACTTACTTTCGGTGGCGCAGCCGGTCATCAGCCAGGAGAGGAGGCTGGCGACGGGGACGACCAGGAACACCGGTGAACTGGGATTCATGCTGAGGGCCGGACAGGGGACTCCGGCCTCGGCTGGGCCGCCCGCCCACCTCACCGGGGCTCACAGGTCCTCTGGAACCGGGTCAGAACCTGCAGCAGAGAGAAAGGAGACGGTTTGTGAGTCGGAGGGCCTTGTCAAAGGAGCGCAAGGGAGGGGAAGGTGTGTGAGAAACCCACAAAGTCAGCCGGCCAGCACTTTCTGCATCTTCCCTAACCAGATCCCGCCAGGATCCTCCCCCTCCTTCCTTCTTCCTCTTTCCCTCTGTCTCTCTTTCCTTTTTATTTTTCTTTTCTCTTCCTTCCTCTTTTGCCTGCTCCCTCCCTCTCTCCCTCTCTCCTTCCTCTCTTTCCATCCTTCCTTTCTTTTTTATCTTTCTTTTGTTTCCTCTTCCTTCCTTTTCTTCCTTGCTTTCTCTCCTCCTCCATCCCTCCGTCCTTCTCTCCTTCCTTTCTTCCTCCTTCCTCTCCTTTCTTTACTTCCCTCTCCTTTCCTCCCTTCCTCTTTATCTCTTCCTCATCCGTTCTTTCTAGATCCTTGCCTCTTCTCCTCCCTCCTCCTCTCCTCCTCTCCTTCCTTTCTTCCTCCTTCCTCTCCTTTTTTAAACTTCCCTCTCCTTTCCTCCCTTCCTCTTTATCTCTTCCTTATCCCTTCTTTCTAGATCCTTGCCTCATCCTCTCCTCTTTTCCTTCTTTCCTCTTTCCTCTTTATCTCTTCCTTGCTAGCTCCTTGCCTCCTCCTCTCCTCCCTCCTTCTTCCTTCCTTCTCTCCTTCCTTCCTCCCTCTCTTTCTTTTTATCTTTCTTTACCTTTCTTTCTCTCCTTCTTCCCTCCCTTCCCTCCATCTCACAATGTCTCAGGACAGCATTAACAGATCCACACCGTCACAGATAAGGGAGATCAAAACTGCCAAAAGTCCTACCCCATATTCAACCACATATCCTACTAGCAATCTGCTCACCCCACACTCGGCCCCACTGCTCAGGTTCTCCACTTCCCATTACCCTCCAACCCTTAATCCAATCTGGGCTGTTAAATAAAAAAAACAAAACCAGTCAAGACATGCTCAGAGACAGCCTGGTTGATATTTCTACACACATGCTCCCTGTTAACCATTGACGCTGTCTTTTTGAACCCCTCTTGAGTTTGAGGGTCAGGCTGGTGCCGAGAAGCCAAAAGAGGACAGCCAAGAGGGCCAGGCTCTGGGGCACGGTCCCCACCTCCCATCGTTCCCATCCCCCAAATCCCCTCTTCAGTCTATGCCTTCAGCTAAAATTATTCCTTACTTTTTTCCACCCGGAGAAAACATCCCAAAGTGTGCCATCCCAGCTCCAAAATTTCTATTTCTTTCTTTCTGACCTCAGCAAATCGCCCTCCCTTTTCAACACCACACCACACCACACCAATCCATTTCTTTGTTGAATGTCTCCATTGATGCGCAGCCCGAAGTTCACGACTCCACCCGGCTAACAATCATGAAAACCCAGCACAAAAACAAGAGATGCGAAAACATACAATCCGCAGCCTGAGATGAAAAAGCAGCTCAGCAAGAAGAAACCAGGGCAATTTGTAAAAAAATCTTCACCTTCCCTGACTCTAATTCTCACACATAGAGAGGAGATTCTGATATATATATATATATATATATATATATATATATATATATATATATATATATATATATATATATATATATATATATTCACATTTTTGCACACGGGAGTCAGTTTCCTCCAACAGCACAGCTGGCTCCAAGTGTGTTGACTCAGTTTTTCCAAATATAAAGCGAACCTCCCACATCTGTAGCACTTTCTCCGAACCAGCATCGGCTGCTCGGCCTTCTTCCTGGCGCCCAAAGTCCGCCAGCAAAAAATTGGCATTAAAAAAGAGGCTTTTAATCCGGGTATAATGAAACATGGGATGATTTTATAAAAAACGGTTTTGGTGGAAGGTAAAGGGGATAAATCTGCTCAAGAAGATATGCTGTTTTGGAGGAGGATAAGGGCACAATTGAAATATATTGTGTGTTGCTAGTTGTTATAGGAGAAGACGTATAGGTAATAAAAATGGTCTCCAGGGGCGTGGGTACAGTGTAGTACTTGTATTCTTTTATATTGTTTTTTATTTAGATCTATGTCAGCGGTTCTCAACCTATGGGTCGATCGACCATTTCCCGGGGGTCGCCAAGCAAGGCTGTCCGCCATTTTTTCCCCTTTTCCGGCAGGTGCCTTAGCTCCCTTGGGCTGGGCCAGCTGGTGGCCCAGCCGGTGGTTGGCCTGCTCCGTCTCTGCCGCTTGCCAGCTACACCTCGGCCAGCGCAGGGGGCGACACCACACATGCGCAGCGCTCCCGGGCAGGGAAAGTCCTCGACTTACAACTGGTTGGGTAGTCCTCGACTTACGACCGGTTTAGTCCTCAACTTACAACTGGTTGGGGGTCGTGGCATTAAAAAGGTTGAGAACCATTGATCTATGTGTTATGTTTGTATTATTTGTATTTGAATAAAATAAAAATAAATAAATAATAATAATTATCCAGCTGCGTCTACTTTTAAAAAGATTTTTCTGAGCCTCAGATTCTTAATAGTTTTTTTTTAAAAAAAATACAGATAGTTTTACAACCGTTCCTTGGGTGACCGTTCCAAGTTTGCCTCATTTTGCGTTCTTCCTCGCCACAGTTGTTAAGTGAATCACTGCAGGAACACGGTTGTTAAGTGACTCTGGCTCCCCCCCCTCCGTTGACTTTGCTTGTCAGGTCACAAAAAGGGGATCCCACGACCCCCGGGGACGCTACAACCATCATAAATACGAGTTAATTGCCAAGTGTCCACATTTTTATCACGCGACCCTTGGGGATGCCGCAACAGTTATAAAAAAAGGGGAAAATGGTCAAAAGTGGCTTTTTTTCAACGCCCTTGTAACTTCGAACGGTCACTAAATGAACCATTGTAAGTTGAGGACTGCTTGTAAAATAATAAAATAATAGAATGGAATGAAATGAAATGATGAAATGAAATAATAAAACAAAATAATGAAACACAATGACATAATAATAATAAAATAAAATAAAGCAACAAATAAGTAAAATAATAAAATAAAATAAATAATAAAATAAAATAAATAATAAAATAAAATAATGAAACACAATAACATAAAAATAATAAAATAAAATGCGAAAAATGGTCAAAAGTGGCTTTTTTTAAACGCCCTTGTAACTTCGAACAGCCACTAAATGAACTGTTGTAAATCGAGGACTGTCTGTAAAATAATAAAATAATAGAATGGAATAAAATAAAAGAAAACAATGAAATGAAATAATAAAATAATGAAACACAGTAACATAAAAATAATAATAAAATAAAATAAATAAAACAAAACAAAATAAATAAAAAACAAAACAAAATAAAACAAATAAAATAAAATAAAATAATGAAACACAATAACATAAAAATAATAAAATGAATAAAATGAAACGAATACAATAAAATAAAATAATGGATAGAATGCAGCTCGGCCACAGGATGAGATCGGAAGTCTTTCTCTCAGCCTCAGTTTTTCCATCGTCTTCCCTTAGCAGGTCCTGCCATAACCACCCCAACTGCCATCCTTGCTCCACCCAATTTACTCCACCATGTAGCACCTATTTATCATCCAAAGTTTTGCTCACGATACCGCTGTTGGGATTGTCACTCCCGCAATTGGTCACCGGAGATGTGAAAAACCAACAACTTCATCACAGCTCAAAGGCTCCAGAGAGAGAGAGAGAGAGAGAGAGAGAGAGAGAGAGAGAGAGAGAGAGAGAGGGAGGGAGAAAATCTCACTTAGCAGAATAAAATCAGCTGAAAAATAAGTGTCCTTTCATAAAACGTCACTGACCAGCAGCCTGGCCAAAAATTGCCACGAACTGAGCCACCGAAGCGATTCCTTGCCAGTCTGCGTAAAAAAAGAATGCACAATCACCAAACATTCAACAACGCGTGGGTCCACTTATTGTACAGGCAGTCCTCAATTTATGACAATTGACCCCAAAATTTCTGCTGCTAAGCGAAACACTTGTTAAGTGAGTTTTTGCCCCATTTTACAACCTTTCTTGCCACAGTTGTTAAGTGAATCACTGCAATTGTTAGGTTGTTAAATGAATCTGGCTTCCCCTGTTGACTTTGCTTGTCAGACGGTCGCAAGAGGGGATCCTGTGGTCCCGGGACCCTGCCACCGTCATAAATATGAATCAGTTGCCAAGCCTCCAAAGTTTGATCACGTGACCACAGTGGCAAGTTTCAAAACTGGTCCTAAGTCACTTTTTCCCATGTCGTTGTAACTTTGAATAGTCACTAAATGAAAATTTGTAAGTCAAAGACTATCTGTATTAAACAGGATTAATTTAAATATATTTATACTATATCAATTGCAAGTCAATTTCATACCAACCGTTCCCAACCAGGCCAGAGTGTTGGGAAAAAACAGCCAAATCAACACTTGGAGCACTGAAATAATGAAGTCGGAGGAACCTAAGAGATCATCTAGTCCAGTGGTTCTCAACCTTTCTAATGCCGCGACCCCATAATACAGTTCCCCATGTTGTGGTGATCCCCAACCACTTATACATCACTGGGTGCCAGGGGCGTGGCCAAAGAAAAGGGAAAAAAATGCCGGACAGCCTTGTTTGGCGACCTCTGTGAAATGGTTGTTCGACCCCAAATGGGGTCCCGACCCACAGGTGGAGAACCACTGATCTAGTCAAACCCTCCAGATTCTGGCCACTATGGTTTTTTTTTTTTCCCCAACCTTGATGGAGCTCCAGGGGAATTTGGCCAATTTTCAAGCCCTACAACTTTGCTTCTTTCACTGGGATCGCCAGGAATATATATATATATATATACATACATATACATATACATATACATATACATACATACATACATACATACATATATATAACCTAGTGGGTTCTTGAAGCATAGAAAAGTTTGAACCCCACAAACACACCCACTAAAATGATTCAACATGCAGGTCATATTTGAAAGAGGCGTCAAAGGAGGCAAGAACAGAATGGATAACGGTATGATATGCCCGTTTCTCGACAACTCAGGTATA